CTTCCAAACAAAGTAAATCCCAAAAGAGCTGCAAAATAAAACAAAATCCAGAAACAAAATAATACAACTTGCAAATATAAGCACGCGCTTGACAATGGGGGCCCAATCACCAGAACTGTCAGTGATGAGCACATGCCGAAATCTTTCCCAACAAAAACTACGGCTTGCAATGCGCGTCTAAGTTTGGCGTCTTTAACACCATCATCATACGGAGACGACGACAACAACAACAATAACATGTTGAATCATCACAAATCGAATGCCTCTAAAAAAACTCTCAGTTTTAGATTTTGATCAAGAGAGAAAGGCTCCTAGACTTAGAGCTACACCTAAATCAGGAATGAGAGCTTCCGCCAAATCTCGAAGGAGTTATAGAACCATGTCCCAGACATTTTGCTAACTGGACCAATGATGATATTCTCACAAAATTTACAGTTGCAAGCAAATTTATTAACCACAACAAGCGAAAAAAGACTCATAGATTAAATCGGGAGAGAAAAAACAAGAAATCAAGGCCTCGGTTGCGTTCATATTAACCATCAGTTTAGGAATAACACATGACATTTGACAATCGATGTGGATTCACATGCGAAGTAAATTAGGACAGAAATTGGCTTTAATACCATGTTAAAAAGTTTCACCCAAAAGTTTGAATTAATAGGTGAAGGGAATACCACATGTTTATAAAAAGAATATAAATCGATAGATTTATCATCTAGATATTCCATTTTAAAACCATCCTGGAAATGGTTTGGATGGAGTCTTGCCATTAGACATAAATGCTATATTTGTATCATGGTACCCTAATCAGAAAATAAAAACTATCAAGGAGTTGGTTGAGTGATTATGGACTTAAATTAGACATGGCAATTTTTATTCGTATCATAACAATTTGATTCTTTGGCCAATAATGGGATATTTGGGCAACTACGAGCACTGAACTACCTCACTGGTCGTATAAATACCCGTCCCAGACACATTGGGCTCTCACTGTAGCCCACAGGTCCATCTGCTCTCGGTGGTGATTTGGGATATCTGTAAATTGGTTGGAAGGACTACATTGACAATTCGTTAAAATATTTAGAATTAAATTGGTACAATTAAAGATTTAGAACTGAATTGATCATCGCACAATATATTAAAGACTTTTTGGATAATTTTTTTCCGGTGATCTGTAATGATAATGTGCATGCATGGTGTGGAACTCGGGTTTTAAGCGAGAGGAGAGGAAGGCAAATTCGAATGCTTATGAAGTTCAGACCAATAATTAAATGTCATGAAAGTAAAATGAACACGCGCTTCATATATATACCTGAGCAACCCCAATAAGTCTGGTCCAGAAAAGTCATTGCCAGAAAAGTGACATGACAAATTGGGAGCGCGCTTTATTCAACCGCCCAATAAGAGTCGGCTACGCGTTACTTTGTAGTCGTGTTGGTAAATCTAAACATAGCTAGCATGAATAATCTGCGCTTGGTTGTAGCTCAGGCTCAGACCACCATTTTCTGTAGTGAAAGGCACCTTCTTGGCTACATTAATGGATCATCTCAACTACCTCTTGGCAGTAGGTTTTCAAAGGAGGAATGACTTCAGCTGGAAATTGGCCGGGTGGAGTTTTGTCCATATCGAACTACATTTATGAATTGTGCAGGGTATCAAATGCAATCCGCATAATGATGTGTCTATTGATGATCTGTCTAAATTTTACGGGAGGATTCGAAAGAGACGTCAGATCTGTTGCGTTTGCATTTGGAAAGTAAAATAGGAATAATTACAAATCTGGCATATGTATTCGGATGTATATCGAGATCATTGACTTTGGTGGATCGTACTTTTATTCCACTTGGGACGCGCATAAGATACGGTCTAGATGCAAAGGGTGTAGATACAACAGTGTCATGCACACGGAATTAGTTTCTCTTTCTCGCTATATAACGATCAAGGACACAGAACATAGGGGTATGGTCAACCTCTTGTCACTAGTAACTAGAGGTGTCAAAATGGATCTTAAACCCATAAATGGGTCATATATGGGTTACTTTAATTTTAAAGAGTCAACCTTAAATGGGTTTTAAATTTTAAAACTTAAAAATAAATGGGTCTAAATGGGTTGAGTTTGGAACCCATGTCCAACCCACCTACTAGACCCATCCACACACTCTTTCCCTCTTTACAAAAATGTTTAAAAAAAATTGAAATTTAATTATTTTTATTTTTTCTCTTTTTCTTTTATTTTTTCGTTTTTCTTTTCTCTTCTTTCTTTTTCTTTTTTTTTTATTCCGGTCGGTGGTCGGCCACGGCGACCAGCCACCGGGGCAGGACGACCTCGCCGGAGGACGGCGAAGCTCGAGCTCGCCCGATTCCGGCGACCTCGAGGCTTGCCCGATGCCGGCGAGGCTCCAGCCTCGCCGGCCTCAGGCGAGCTCGAGCTGGCCGGATCTGGCGAGGTGGAGCCTCGCCGAATCTGGCAAGGTGGAGCCTCGCCCGAGGCCGGCGAAGCTCGAGCTCGCCGGCCTCGGGCGAGCTCGAGCTTCGCCGGCCTCGGGCGAGGCTCCACCTTGCCAGATCCGGCGAGGTCGAGCTCGCCTGAGGCCAGCGAGCTCGAGTCTCGCCAGATCGGCGAGGCTGGAGCCTCGCCTGAGGCCGTCGAGGCCTCGGCCTCGCCAGATCGGCGAGAACGAGCTTCGCCGGCCTCCGGCGAGCTCGTCCTCGCCTGTGGTCGATCGCCCGCCACGGCGGCCGGCGATCGGCCAAAAATAAAGGAAAAATAAAAAAATAAAATAAAAAATAATTAAAAATTCGATTTAAAAAATATTAAAATTTTGTTTTATTTTCTTGGATAATGACTTTATGGAAAATATTTTTTAGAAATGTCGCATTTTTCGTAAAACAAACAGAACCTCAATTTTAAAAAAAATTATAAAAAATTTTCACTAGCTTTGTATTGCATAAAATGTTTTAGCAGTATAATTTAAAAAAAAAATCATAAGAAACAAGTATTCCTAGATTAGGTTAAATATAAAAGTGTTTTAGCAATATGGGTCGGGTCGGGTATGGGTTGGGTATGGGTCGGGTCGGGTATGGGTCGAGATATTTACACTATGAATAAATGGGTCATAAACGGGTTAATGGGTCAATTTGGGTCGGACCATTTATGACCCGACCAAAACCCGACCCGACCCACCCGTTTAACAGGTCTACTAGTAACCTAGGATGCACCGACATGCTATTTGAGCATCGGAAGCGGTGTCCGACACGTGTCGCGTGTCCGACGCACTCCGACACGTGTCGCGTGTCCGACGCGCTCCGACACGCTCGGACACGCGGCCGACACGCTCGGACACGCGGTCAACGCGTGTCGGAGATCCGACAAGCGGTCAACGTGCCGGACACGCAGGCGACACGCGAGTCGGGAATCCGACACGCAATTTTCAACACGCACGGGGTTAATTTTACAAATTTCCAAAAATTTAGGGGTCAAAATGTAAATTTATAAAAAAAAAGTAAAAAGAAAAGCAGAGAAAGCTCGATTACTTCTGTTTGCCCTAAGCTTCTTTCCTCCGCAAAGCTCCTCAAGACCCTTTCGTCCGCCAAATCTCCTCAAGACCCTTTCCTCCGCCGTGATTGCTTTTCTTAAACGTTTTCTTGCATCTCGCTTTTCGCTGGGTACCATCTGCTCCCCACCCGCCACCAAATTACCCTTCAGCGCCGCCGCTCGAGGCCTACCCAGGGCCTGTGCCGCTGCCGCCTCAACCTCCCTTTGAGGGGTACCAGCGATATTTCGCCGGAGGGTATCCTCCGCCGCCGACGTCGCCTCCTCGTTACCCCACCACCACCGTCGCAGTCGACGTCGTTCCCCTTTTGCAGTGCTGGTAATGATAGCTCTCTTTATGTAGTTTCGATCATTTTGCCCCTTTTCTTTTTGTACCTTCAGATGTATGTTTCTTTTCGAAGAGACCTCTGCCTCCTCTGATTGTGATCCCCCAGAGGGAGGATTGCAAGTATGAGAAGTCTAGAATACAAGACATGCTGCCTCTATTATCCGGTTTTTAATAGATATTAACAAATGATGGCTTAATGTTTTTACTGTAAATTCATTTTAGGCTCCTTTTTTCTTATTATTTATTTATTTGTGGATTTGAATCAAATTAATTTATCATGTATTACTTTTTATATATAACATGTCGCAACGTGTCAGAATTCTGTATTTTTGAGAAATAACGTGTCGCGTGTCGTGTCATGCCGTGTCGTGTGTCGCGTGTCGGTGCTACTTAGCTAGTAACTTGTCCCTCTTGCTTGATTATATGTGTTCTAGATTCTAGCTATAGAGATCTTAGGTGTCATTTTTCGCGACCAACACAGATGACACAACTCCTCCGATCTCCTTCGAAACTAGATTTATAGACTAACGAAATTCAAGAGAAGCGAAATCCCAAAATCATACAAGCAAAAAACCCATAATCTAGATTAGATCGAGGTGGAAATCTCCCCAGAAACGAGAAAAAGATGCTTTTAGATCTAGATTAAATTATAAGAGAAAAGCTTCACGAAACGAGAGAAAATATAGAAAAAAAAAAATAGAGAACCAAATCAATCAAAGAAAAAAAGAAAGGGAAGGGAGGGAGAGATCCAGCTCAAATCCTTTTTGCATAGAAAAGACGGCTTCACGACTTTCTGCTAAGTAGTACAGCCTGAGGGAGGACGATAATAAATATATATTCCTCTAATTGGACCACATCGCAATGAAGATACATCAGCAACCCCCAGTCTGGTCCACAAAAGCAAATTACTATGAAGTGATGTGACAAATTGCGAGTTGCGAGGACACTTCAGTCAACTACCCAATAAGAGCAGGCTACGTGTTTTTCCATTTTGCAAATCCTAGTATACCAATCCTTAATTATCTGCACTTGGTCGTAACTCAGGCTCAGACCACGATTTCTGTGATGGATCATCTCACCTACCTTCTGGCACTAGGTTTTTTAATGGGAGAAATGGCCGCAGCTAGAAAATGGTTGGTTGTGGTTTTGTGACTTTTGTCCCTCACCGAAATAAGTATCCTCAACCTCTATCGCTTGTAACTTGTCCCTCTTGCTTGTTAACTAACCGAAGCAAGGTACAGGAATGGAGGTCGCCGGCGATTCAACCTACATCACTCCATCGACCTACAACCGCTACCAAGAGCTAAGAGACTTCGATGAATCGAAATCGGGCGTGAAAGGCCTGTTTGATTCTGGCCTCGCTAAAATCCCGAGAATCTTCGTCCGACCAGCAGAAGAGATTGCCCGTGACCAATCCAAATCTAGAGCCACTGGACTCCAAATCCCGATCATCAGCCTCGAGAATCTCGCTGTGAATCGGCCAGGGACGGTGGCGCAAGTCCTCGAGGCGGCGCGTGAGGTCGGCTTCTTCCAGGTTTTGAACCACGGGATACCGCAGAGCATATTGGAAGGGACGTTTGTGGCGGCGCGTGCCTTCCACGAGCTGCCGAAGGAGGTCAAGGCCGAGTACTACGGCCGGGAGGGCAAGAGAAGGGTGAAATTTTCCTGCAACTTCAACCTGTACAAGTCAAGGCATGCGCATTGGAGGGACACTTGGGTCTGCCATATGGAACCCGAGCCGCTTGATCCCGCGGAGTTGCCTCTTGTTTGTAGGTAACCACTCAATATTCCTGAATAGATTTTATATCTACGCCTCATACTTGTGACTGAAATAGAGTCGGTCTGGTCGTATTGAACCGATTTTCAAATTGTTGAAACCTAAAATCTGTCTAGGGACGCGATAATGGAGTACTCCAAACGAATGAAGGTGCTGGCGACCATTTTGCTCGAATTGCTATCGGAAGCTCTTGGCCTCAAGCCGGACTACCTTGTCAACATGGATTGTGCTAAAGGGCATGCTCTTCTCTATCACTATGCCCCGGCCTGCCCCGAGCCCAATCTTACTCTGGCTACTCGCCATCATTCCGATCCTGACTTCTTCACGATCCTTCTACAAGACGATACCGGCGGGCTTCAAGTTTATTACCGGGATCAGTGGGTCGATGTCCCTCCTGTCGCGGGTGCTCTAGTTGTCAACATTGGAGATCTCCTCCAGGCATGCTCTCAATCTCACTCCTAATAGTACCAAAACTAGTTTCTTCCGGGATTCGCCTTCTGTTGTTTTTGGACAAATTAGAAAGACACATGAGACGCATATGAAAGAGGATCGATGGGTCCACTTATACGTGTTCTGTTTGTTTCCTGGCAGCTTATGTCGAACAACATTTTCAAAAGTGTCGAGCACCGAGTGCTGTCGAAAGATGTCGGGCCAAGGCTATCCATCGCCTGCTTCTTCGCTCTTTATGAAGATCCAACGTCCAAGGTGTACGGGCCGATAAAGGAGCTGGTGTCGAAAGATAGGCCGGCTTTGTACCGCGAGATCACCCTCGGAGAGTTCATGACGCACTATTACTCGAAGGGGCTCGACGGCCAATCCGCTCTTGCACCTTTCAGATTGCCGAGCTAGACATTGGAATGCAAGGTTAGATTGGTTCTGGAATTTTATGTAATAACTCGGTGGATGCAAGCACAAAAATGGAATATTTTCACGATGATTAGAGAACATGCTAGTAATTAGAAGCCATGATTTAGAATCAAGAGGTGAAAGAAATTAATAATCGTTGTGAAAATTATACTATTTACCTTGTTCTTTCATCAAATAGTTCATCTTCGTGCTATTTTCATTGACCTTAAAATGTTGTCACCGATGACATTTAAGCGTTGTTATTTACCATTTGATGAATCAAGTCATTTCGGTTCGAAAGATATAATCCTCCTTATCATTTATTATTTCCGTAAGTGCTATATTTTCAAATTTTGGACACGTGAATAATTCAGTCCTCAAACTCGCGCAGTTCATGCGATTAAAGATCTCTTAACTCTGTACTTTTCAATTTCATATTTCTGCAAGTGCTAACGTGGCTCATGGCATGACAATTTCTGACATTATAAGGAGTATTTTATTTGAAATTAAGCGAAGCAGAAAACTCACAAACAAAGTGAACTAAAAGATAAATGAAAAACTTGAATGGGACTGGGGCCGAGAGGAGATGGGTGGGGTCGCATTTTCCCTTCGCTGAGGTTGTCGTGGACTGAGAAAATATTGGGTAGGACTGATTTTCCACGTCATCCATAAGTCATTCCATTTCTTGGGCGACGCGTGGCAATGTGGGTCCCGCTATTAACCATCACTCTCAGCTTTCTCTTCTCTCTGTCACGGTCTCGCCAAACTTTTTTGCCCACGACCATTACTTTCTCTCTCCCACCACCCCACCTTTCACCGTCTTCTTCTTGGGCACACATCCATACCCACGACATCTCCATCATCAACGCACAATGCAGAAGAGGACCTTCATTTTTTTTTCTTTTTTTTATTTTTGTGGCCATAACCTCCACAATGTGCTTGATCTCCAAGCATTCGGTGACCTGATTTTCGTGCACGGGAAGAACAAATGTTGCTAAATCCACAAGGACCCCAACAACAACAATCCTCGATACTGCAATACTGAGAATCTAGCTTTGATTGATATAATTCTTTCTCATTTACTCTCTAATTACAGGTTCACAAGGAAAAAAAAAAAAGCAATCTTTTTCATCAACCTCACCAACATGAAGACACAGGAAAAAAGAACTAGAAAACAAGAAAAGAATAAACTCTTGAAACAATCTCGATAACAGCTAGAAAAAGAAGAAAGATAGGGAACTCAGTCCATTGGGGTCTAGATCTAGGGATCTTTTATTCCATCGATTCTGGATCTCTCCTCCTCTTCCTCGTTCTCTTTTTTTTTTTTTTGATTTCCTTTGCTTAGCTCTCTCACTACGGCATTACTTCAATCAATCAATAAGCTTCGATGAATGACGAATGACGAATGAAGACGATCTCCTGCCATGATCGAAGTTCTGGGTATAGCTCATTGAATCGCACTAATAGGCTTATGGGAGGTAGACGAAGAAGAAGAAGAGAAAAGTGTAGAGCGGAAGAGAGAGTCGGTCAGTAACGTTGACATTAACGGGGAAGAGAGAGCGATGGAGAGGAGAAAGAGTGGGAACCCCATTGCCACGCGTCGCCCAAAGAATGGAGTGACTTATGGATGACATGGAAAATCAGTCCTACCCAATATTTTCTCGTCGTGGACCTCCATTGTTGCCGTCTATCACCGTCTCCTACCACCGACACTGATGAGTCACTTCCGCACAACCACCACCAATCTCTCTCTCTCTCTCTCTCTCTCTCTCTCTCTCTCTCTCTCTCTGACGAAGTGGCGTTCACATCATGACGGCGAAGACTTCCAAGGGAGGAGGGCGTGGTCTCCCAAGTTCAACACCACCACATAGGCCCCGTTTGGTTCAACTTTGAGAAAATGCAAAGCCATTTCCTCAAGGCTCTTTGGCTCAAGGGTATTTTGCTCAAAGTAAATGCATTTGGTTGCTTCCTTTTAGTGTAGCTTTTTGCAAATTATTTTCAAATTGAACAAAAACATAAAAGAAAAACAATGGCACTGTTCATCTTCTTCGTGGAAGAGACGGCTTGAGATTGCAGCATCTCTCCCATCCCCCATCTCTTTGCAAATCCTCAAGCCCCAATCCATCAAAACACTAACTCTCTCGTGTTGGCTACTATGTGGTACTTGAGATTGATCGCGCCACACCAGACAATACGCTATCGAGGTCGTGCGACTACCCAGGCGTGGGTCGTGGAGGATGCGCGACGCCAAACGAGGCAACACCGAGGTCGCGCGACTGCAGGGCCACGTAGATATGGTCCTTCGACGGTCGAAGTGAGCCAGGCAAGGGCCGCGGAGGATGTGCGATGCCAGGCGAGGCAACACCGAGGTTGCGCGACCATCAAGCGACTCAGACCTAGCCCTTTGATGGTTGAAGCAACCCAGGCGAGGGCCGCGGAGGATGCGCGATGCTTGGCGAGGCAACGCCGAGGTTGCGCGACCACCGAACGACTCAGATCTGGCCCTTTGACGTTCGAAGCGACCCAGGCAAGGGCCGCAGAGGATGCGTGACTTCGACGTCAATCCTCGACCTATGGGATCTCGACCTTAGTGACCGTCGACCGATGACCGGCGACTTGACCTCGACTACTCAGCCACTAAGCACAGAGATGATGGGTTGAAGAAGATGAAAGACAATGGTTGAAGAAGATGAATAGTAACTTTTGAGGGCAAAAGTGGAACACACAATTATCAGTGAGGGCAATAATGGAAAGAAAAAAAGTCATTAAACCCCCCCACAATAGCATTCTCGAAATGCTGAAAGCCCAAAGCACCTTTCCTATTTTGGGCTTTCAACATTCCCAATGCCAACATTTGGCTAATAGGATCTAAAAAATTCTTGCCAAACACCTCATATTTTTTTCAAGAGGCTTTAGAGGCTCAAAGCCCCTAAGGAAATCCGAACCAAATGGGGCCATACTCCGCCTTTTCATTTGGTTAGGGATTTCCCCTATTAGTACTTCTTAAGAATCTACAAAATTCTTTCATTTGCACGTAATAACTTCACAACGATTTGGGCTTCCTTATTTCATCGTATAAGTTTCACCGTTTTCTAATAACTAAGGGTGTCAAAAGAACCCACTGAAACATGACCCGACCCGATCTAACCCGACCCGAATAGGGAATTTTTGTATTAGGTCGGGTTGAGCCTTAACTTATTTGGGTAACGATGGAAACAAGGCTTCGGCTTGTTTTGGATCTACCTGAGCCTGCCCGAAACAAGCCCACCAGAAACAAACAAGAACCATATGATCTTCTTGCTCCCAAGCCCACCCGAAACCCTATCATCTTCTTCCAAAGCTTCGGATCTGCAACTGGCGATTGAGTAGTGCGACGCGGAGGCAACTGGCGGCGACGATCGGCATCTTCGTCGCCGACGCCACCCTGATTGCGGCCGGCATCCACCTCTCCTACGCCAACATCGCTTCTCAGCAAGCCCGCGCCAAAGCTCGCAGCGACTTCGTCAAGTCTCGCTTCCGGAAGCTCCTCGACGATTGACCCTCCTGACCCGCTGCCCCCGGCCCCACCCACAAGTGACGATTTCTCTCTTCCGGTGAGCATTGCCATCTTTCAATTAATCCCCGGCGAGCTTTGAATCTGCGGTGTTCCTACTTTTTCAACGGCATGGTGCTTGGGTGTGTTGGATTGACTCTCTTTTCGGAGTGGAACTTGATTAGATCAGCTCCAAGTTGGCTCTTTTTGCTTTTGTTTGTCGAAGAATGGGGAACCCATCTGTTGATTCACTGTGCCTTTCGAGGTGTTCTATGTATGCGTGTTCATCTCATTTTGCATCAGCCGATTTTGCACGTCATACCAACTGTTCGATAAAATTACTAAGTCAACTGATGATCCTGCAACGATCTTGTTATCTTTTGTTCCATCTTACATTTTTTACAACAAAGAGGATCATTATGTGCCTTTATGATTTTGGGTGCATCCTGTCCAAAACGTAGGAGGAGCGACGCGGTTCAGATCTGAAGAGATCTAAGGAAAATCACCATCGGCTCTGACTCGGTTTCGCGATCAAGATTCTGAGGGGAAAGTGATCGTTGGCTTCATTCATTTGCGGAGATTTCGGCAATTCCGGCGAAAACTAGTGTCTCTGGCCCCACTACGCTGCCTTCCACAACCTCAACACCGACGTCGGCTTCCGGGCCCTGCTCCTGCCCGTCGCCTTCGCTTTTCTGTGCTAGTGAGAGTTTGATATCAGTTTCAAGAATAAGTATGTTTATGTAGATGTCGAAGCTCGGAGTGATGGCTCTAGTATAGTTAGTTGGTTTAGAAAACAATACCCGAAACAGAACAAGACCTTCGAAGTGTCTGCTATCGAGGCCGATGAGCATTTTTATGAGGCATACAAGTCGAAGAAGCATATCACTTTGCTGCCATGTGCTGCGTGGGTGAAGAATGAGACTCTGTCCTTCGAAATAAACTGAGACCCGGGTCAGAAATTGGAGGACAAAGGTAGAAGGATGGGTAGGATTCAGCCGGTTCAGTCCTCAAGCGATGGGGAGGTGGCTAAGATTCAGGGATTCGATTTCGCGGAATGGTTGAAAAGCATGGTTACAGAGAAGGATTTCGTGGTGATGAAGATGGATGTGGAGGGGACCGAGTTCGATTTGATTCCGAGGCTATTCGAGACTGGGGCTATCTGTTTGATCGATGAACTGTTTCTCGAGTGCCATTACAACAGATGGCAGAGATGTTGTCCCGGTGAGAGAAGTTCCAAGTACGAGAAAACATATGGGCAATGCTTGGACCTTTTCACATCCCTGAGACAGAGTGGAGTTCTTGTTCATCATTGGTGGTAGTAACTCTTGCAAATGAGCAAATATTGTTGCTAATGCTCACCACGTATGTTTTCTTTGATGCTGTGATTCTCCTCTTACAGTGGCATTTATTGTACTGCTTCAGTTTAGGCTTTTGTGCTGGATTACTCATTGTATGAAGCGCTGTAGTGAAATAGCCCGAATGAAATCCAACGAATGCATGGTTTCTCTTGCAATCGAATTGAATGTGTACTCGTTCTGCTCATTTTGCAGCTTCTCTTTCCGCTTATGAACTGGTTAGGCATGAATGTGTACTCATGTTGCCTTCGTTTGCTTTTTTTTGCCAAATCGAACTTGGAATGCTGCTTTATTTCATGTTATGAAACATCTGCTGGAACGAGGGACCGAAATCTCCCGAGACAA